GAGGCGCCGCTGCCGCCCCCGCGCCCTCCCCGCAGTCGGGAGCCGGGCCAAGCCACGCGACCGGCACCCCCGTGTCCTGGAGGAGCCTCATCCCAAATTGCAGCCAGGTGGCTTTTGGGGTTGGTGGTTTGTTTGGTTTTTTTTCCCCTCCGAGTGATGCGAGGGCTTGTCCTGTGACAGGCGGGAGTTGTCGGGTCTGTGTCCCCAGCCCGGTGTCTGTGGGATGTAACAAGGAAGATGCTTTGTGGCATTCGTGTTTCTGTGTAATAACGAAGCGTGCAGAAATGTTTAACATGATAAAGAATCCCCTAATATCAAGGCACCGCAGCCCAGCCTCCCTGCAAGGAGGAAACAGGAGAAAATCAAAGGTGGAGGGGAGAAAATCAAAGATGAAGATAGTTTCACCTCCAGTGAAGCAGTTAATGAGCAAAACGGCTGCTCTGTGAATGGTGGTTGTTGCTGCAAGTTGGGCTTGGTGTGTATCAGGATGCCCAAAAGCATCTGTTGTTGGGTTAATGGCTTGGGGGTCCTGTTTTCAATGCTTTGAACAAAGTAAGCAAATGGGTTTGAACAAAATATTGGGCCTAGGGCTTATATTTCATACCCAGAGATGAATGAGTTTGAGGACACCGATTTTAGTTTTTCTTTGTATTTCTGGCACCCACTGAGCCAAGTTTAATAATCAGTTTTAAAAAAATCCACTCAGTGAAGCAGGAATGATAAAGGGCTAAAATTCTCTTTTTGTACCACTGCTACATCAACCCCCATTCATTTCAGTGCCGACAGACACTGGTTTAAATGTCAGGACTATCAGGCCCAGCAACATCTTAGAAATAAGAACAACATAGTGGAATTTAATGGAGTTACACCTGAGTTGAGGTAGACCCATTGAGCCTAGGCATCTGTTTGTAAATCCCCGTCTTGTGGGTCTGTAAGGGCAGAATACAGAGAGACAGAGACATTACGCCTTGGGTACAGGCAGTAATTGTACAGCAAATATTTTTTCTGTAACGATGCTGAAAAAGATGGCGTCCTTTTCTGTAAGTCTACTGTGTAACATGCAGTGCTTAATATATTGTGCTCATTCAATTATAGTTCTAGTGAGCTGGAGTCACAAGAGACAGCAAAGCTTTTCAGGCTTTCTGGTGATTTCCTGAAGGTATTTCAGCACTTGGTCACAGCACAGAACATAATAAATTGCACCATCTGTATACATAGTTCTTGGTTCCTGACAGAATGAGAGATAAGGCTTTAGGCGTTGTATGCCAAAAAAATACAACACAGATTTCTTTTCTTTCAGTATTTACAATGCCTTAATGTCAGAAGAACTGTGGATTTTCCTGCCATTAGCAATTGTCCAAGTAGCCATCTCGAAGCGTTGCTCCCGTGGTTCAAAGACAACCCAGGGAACTGAGGACACGGGGCCAAACTCGACTCGCAGTTGCACGGAAGCAAGTGCAATCAGGGATATTGTTCTGACACAAACAAGAGCAGAGTTTGGCCCAGGTAATCAGCATCTTTTCTGTTTCACACTGGTAATTGACAGTTCCCTTGGGGTAATGATTGGGCTTGTGGATATATTAAATCCAGTCTTTGGCCCCAGTGATGTGGTCCACACAGAGGCATATTTCCCATTAGACTGAATGGCTGAAGGAAGGGCTGAGTATATGCCCTATTCTTGTCCACATGATACCAGCGCTTTTCTTTAGTTGAATTGGCTTCTGTTCTGTAGTTTCTATGGAAAGAAAGTAGAGTCCAGGAATTTTTCCCACTTAAAAGGAAGAAAAATGATATGGTGCTTGTAAGACTGCAGGCCCTGAATCAATGACAGACTTGAAATATGTTTTGCTTAATAACACATTAAGTGTTTTGTAGCACCAGGACTGGTGCGAGGAAGAACATGATGGTTTGTCTGCAGCAGTCACGCTACTGAAGTGTTGAGACGGATATTGGCTAGGGCTACGATCCCTGAACCAGAACCAGGATTTCCTGGGCTGTAGTCCTACTACTAGCCATGACTTCCTCCGCTACCTTGGGCACATTTTTAAAATCACCTGCACCAGGTTTCCCACCTGTTAAAATGGCATGGCCAAATCCAGCTACCTGAGGGCAGCGGTGTGTTTGGTGGTGGAGGCAGTAACGAGATCCGGCCCTCCAAGGTGTATTTAGCACATCACAGAAATCAGGAGCAATGCCAGATCCTTCCCTGGTGTGATCAGCACAGGTCCATGCTCTGGCTCAGTGCTCTGGAGATGAAAAGTGCCTTTTAAGTAAGTGTCACAGCTCAAAACAAAAACTTAAGCTATTTCGAAGGATTTTTTGTTGTTGTTGTTTTCAGAAAAAAACCCCACACAAACAGTATCATTCAAGCAGTCTCTCAAAAATTTAAGGTGAATATTAACACTCAATGGAATGATGACCATTACTCTTTTTCCCTTTCATCTTTGGTTTGAGAGTATTTATCTTGTTTGCTTTGTGTTTTTTTTTTAAACAATTGCTGATAATCAGAACAACCATGATTAACACTCCAATACAGCAACTACTTAGGAAACATTAGTAAGGACTGCAACACTGATTAGGTGTACAAACAAATATTATCGTACCCCGTATTCTAAGTAGCCATAATGGTTATAATGGACTCTAAGAGGCTATGTATTTTGTCAGTATAGATTGAGTTTACAACATGTATTCAAGCATTCAGAGGGCACGGGAGAAGGTTCTCTTCCAAGTTGACTTGTCAAAACTTCATTAAAATCAATAGATATTCACCAATCTGACTTTAGGTAGATTTTGTCCCTGTGTCTTCTGATACATGGGAATGGGCTTTTAGCTGGAGCCAGCAGCAGAGGAAGTGAAGGCGGCCACTTCTCAAGCTTTGTGGTCAGTCAGGCCTAGGAAAAATCCACTTAAGCTTTTTTTGCTAATGACATTTCTGGAAGCAAGTCAATGAACTGAAGAAGAGTGTCCGACCTGATGAAACGCTAGCCAAAACACAAACAGAAAACATTTCAGCACTGAGATTTCAAAGCCTCCTGCAGCCTGAAAGCACCATCTCTCTCAGGCTAATTTTTGGGTTTGAGTCTAAAACACCATCAACAGGCTGCTAAATGTACAGCATTGCTTCAGTTTGTACACTGAAAATATTTTTATTGCTATTCTTTTAAAGATATTTTCATGGCTCCACGTATCTAATGCAGTGCTTTCAACATGTGGAAAGCAAATTTATTGGGTTTGGATTTAAAGTCTCTACCCAGGAATCCACACCTTATTGGGAAGTTTTTAGGAGATCACAAATTAATAAAGGTCACAGCGGCAGAAACAGTGGAGGAATTTGTAGTTCTCCAACCACCACCATTAATTCTCAGGCAGGGAGGGGGTTCTTCTTGATGATCCCAATTATTTTAAAGAATACAGAAAAACACTAGGACCCTTAACAGTATTTACACATACAAACAACATATTTGATTTTCAGAAGACTTGGTTGTTCAATTGTTCAATAATTCCAGCTTGTGGGAAAAGATTCCCAACTTTAAGCACATGTAGAATAAATTGTCAAGACAACTGATTCTTTAATTTTCATTATATTAAATTAATAGTTAATCAAATATTGGAAGTGGGTTTTAAGTTTTAAAAGCGTCGGAATTTCAGGATGTGCTTTTAAAGTTTCCACCTAGATAAATATGGGCTATTGCACTGCATCTGGAAAACAAATGCAGTGTGTCTCCTTTCTGTTTTATAAATCAGGAATACCTTTGCTGAAATCGATGGATCCATGTCAGTTTAGGTGAGGGATGAATAGGACCAACATGGAAAGCTACATCATGTAATCTTTAGCCTGTGTTCCAGCACCTGAAGTTAGAGGACACCACAGAT